TTTGACATGGGAGTCCAACGACATAACCATTACATTAACTGCTGGTCCCTAAACAGACTATTTCTATAAATTGAGGATTTACGTCATGATAATAACTGAGCTAGTAGTTTTCTCAGTGCCATTGTGATATCTTGGTTCCTCAGTGTATATATGATGGGATTCAAAGTTGGGATGAAAACAGTGTAAAAAAGAGAGATTAACTTCCCCATTCTTTCAGAGTGATTTGGTTTGGGTTGTAAATAAGAGATGGTGGCTGTCCCATAGAATAACACTACAACGGTCAGGTGAGAAGAGCAGGTGGAGAAGGCTTTAGACCTCCCTCTGGCTGATGACAATTTTAGAATGTTGGAGATAATTTTACCATAGGATACAGCAATCAACAGAAATGGAACCATAACAAACAACACTGCAGCTACATAGACTGCTATCTCATTCACAAATGTGTCCCCACAAGCAAGTTGAAGTATTGGTGGTATGTCACAGAACAAGTGATTGATTGTGTGAGATGCACAAAAAGGCAAAGAGAAAATCTGCCATGTTTGTCCAATGGCTCCTGGAACTGCAGTGATCCAGGAGGCAGCCACCAGCTGGATGCAGACCTTGTGGTTCATCACAAGAGCATAATGGAGAGGGTTACAAATGGCCACATAGCGGTCATAAGCCATCACTGTCAAGAGGAGACACTCTGTGCTTCCAAGCATCAGGATAAAACACATCTGTGTAGCACAGGCTAGGAACAAAATATGTCCTTTCTGAGTCTGAAGGTCCATGAGCATTCTTGGGATAGTTACTGTTACATAACAGATTTCCAGAAAAGAAAAATTGCCAAGGAAAAAGTACATGGGTGTGTGGAGAGCAGGGTCGGTTTTTATAATTAGTATTATGATGCTATTGCACACCAAGACAGTCAAGTATATGAATAAAAATACACCAAACAGAATCCATTGGAGATTGGGAGTATCAGAAAACCCCAAGAGAACAAAATCCATCATCGTAGTGATATTTGAATTTTCTGCTTTAATTTGCTTTATCTGTAGACATGGTAAATTCATAATGATTAATTCATTCACATGTCAAACCATACTTTCCTATTTTGCTTACTGGAAGAGACGCATGAAAATACATAATTTGTCCAATGATTTCTACCATTAGTAAGAAATGATATAACCTTTACTAGGAGATTAGTGAGAAACTTCAGAAGGGGATTGATAATGGAATTGAAATCAATTCAAGAAGTAAGACTTTAATATATTTTATAGACTTAGTTGTAATGAACCAGAGGTACTGAGAAGTGTACATTATTTAGAAAACATTGTGGAGAAATAATATTTTATTATTTCAACAAAAAGAGTGGAATTGCAATACAGGCTCTTTCTATTGTATTGATAATCATATTTTATTTTCTTTCAATTTATAAATGAACTTTTTCTTTGACATTTATATTTAATTTTTATTCAAAAGGAGTTTTTAGTCACCTCTTTCATACTCCAATGAGAATCACTTTTCTTTATTGGAGGAAATAAATATATGCATTGCTATTATTCTCTCCCATTATTATTACTAAATATAAAAATATTAATCCCAGCATGTTGTTTATTAACCTTATTTATTAGCACTCTCTAGATAATTTTCACAAATATTAATGAGCTTTTAACTTAATCAAAAAATATTCCCCATACATTGCAATGTTTTTTAATATATCTCTCCTTGTCCATGTAAGACTCTTTACTTATATGTAATTTGCTATTATCAAACTCAACTCCTTTCCTCAACTTCCCTTGATAACTTGCCTTGTAGTAGTATAAATTTGATTAAAATTTACCCTGGTCATACAAGTTGCCAAAGCATATGAATGGCACTGAAAACCAAAAGAAAGCAAAATGAAATTACAAACACCCTGTCTTGCTATACTTCATATTAATGTCATCTGCTCTGAAGTTGGCAAGTCAGCATTGTCTGATGATTCCTTTTATATTTTCTCAGTGTTGTTTTTACCAACTTTTCAAAACAAATATTTATGTACTTCCGTATCTCCTTGAATGTATCTGCACACTTCTACCGCCATCGGCTGATACTTTTGAATTATCACATTCATAAATAAATATGACCAGGCAAATATTCTCTTATATGTCCATCATTCCATTGGTAGTTGTTACCAAGTTACTTTAAATAAATGATTGTGTTATTAATATCATTATTATTTGACATAAACTTAATTTTTTAAAGAATTTTATTTATCATTATTATTATTGTTATTATTTTGTAGAGGTTTTCACCAGAGGGTGCTTGTGCTCAATGGAGAGAGAGAGATCTAGACAATGAGAGATTAAGTGATATATCAGCCACCAGGGGGTATGGCCATGCTACAATCTCTAATCCTTCATTCTCCTCCCAGAATCTTGGGCACACATGCACATGTGCATGGTGTAAATTCCAAGCCACCAGGCCCAGGACTCAAATCACAGTTGGCCATGTGGAAGTCCGGCAACATAACTACTACACCAACTGTTGGCCCCAATTACAATTTTTTTTTTAATTTGCTAATGGGCACATGTATGTTTTCAGCAGAGAGACAGAGGGAGAGTGAGAGAAAGAGAGAGAATGTGAGAAAGCAAAGTGCCAGGTCCAGTACTCAAACTGTGGTCAGAAATGTGGGTGTTCAGCACCTTAGCCAGCATGCCACCTATTGGCCCTAATATGGACTTACTTTTATTTAACTTTATACAAAATTAAGAGCTACATTATTGATATTAACTAACTCGTTTTCAGATTAAGTTCTCAAAATTTCATGCTCTTATCTGAATCTTGATTCTCACATTTAGAAATATATTTAACATAATGTAGCAACACAGTTATAACTTACCTTCATGTGTTTTCATGAATTGTCTGTGTGGGAGAAAGTGACACTATAAACTTTTAGATCTTTTCTTTTTCTTGGAAGTCTATTTCTACAATATCTTTAGCTTGCTTCAAATATCAACTGCTCTTAAATAGGAACAGTAACTCTCACCCTGGGGAAGATCTTCTCTTGTGTATCAATTTAATTTCTAGAAGACTGCTTCTTCAGGGCAACCATTCTGGTCACTTTTCAAAACCACTTTATTTGGATAGACTCATCCACCTCTGCAGTCCCTCACTGTCAAAGAGCTCCCCTGAGGGAGGAATCTCTTGGCAGCAAAATACCACTTAATTGTGTAGTATTACTTTCAGAGACAGTTAAGAATCTGTCTAGCTATTACATTTAAGGTCCTTAGTAATTGATGCAAATTTGCCTTTCTTAATTTCATTCCCATAATTCACCAGATCTAGAAAATACAAAAATTTAGTAAAACATGTAAGGTGACACAAACATGCGATACTTGCTGTCTTCAGCATACTGGGTGGTGAGATCCCTATTAAAAGAGGAATGGTCTCTTCATAGGTAAACTTCTGTGGAATTAAGGAATGTCATTTCTGCTGGCAAATATTTAGATTGCTTTTTCTAGTTATGTTATGTGATCACCCATCATGGAAGCTTTCTAAATGATTGCAAATGAACTAGAAATCTGTTGATGATAATGTATATGGTTATACCTTTGACTTGACTAATATATACTGTATTTATTCCAGGAAAAACCATGTTGTTCACTATAAAGATATACAGTGACTAAGTCTTGATTTTTTAAAAATTAAGAAACTTGGGACCAGCAGATGGCATAACGTCTACATCGCTGAACTCCCATGTAGTCCACCACAGTTCAACTCCCAGACCCAGTAGCTTCATCTCACACCAGGAGCATGTTTGTGTGCACTCAAGATCCAGAGAGGAGAATGGAGGAGAAGGGATTGTTGCATGGCCATCCCCCCTGGGGGGTGATTTCTGTCTCTCTGTCTCTCTCTGTCTTTCTGGTGAGCACACATGTCCTATAGCAAATAAATAAATAAATATATAAATAAATAAAACCTTGGAGCCAGTATGTGGGGTGGTGGTTAAAGAGCTGGACACTCCCACATGGCTGACCACAGTTCGCGTCCCAGACCTGGTGGCTTGCTTTCTCACTTTATCTCTCTCTGTCTCTCTGCTTGTGTGTCTCTTTGATCAAATTAAAATAAATGAATGAATAAATAAAATTTAAAAAATAATTATTAAAAACTGTATTGTGCCCACATGATTATGCAAAAATATTGTATGTTAATAAAAATATTTTAAAAAGCAAATGAAATATAAGCCACCTCAAAAAAAAAAACATTTTAAACACTTAATGACTAACCTGTATAACAGATACTTAAACTTTTTTCTTTTTTAGAGAGATATTTCTACATTAAGCTGTGTACGCTTGCCAGAGATACAGAAGAAAGCAAAATTCACCCTCCAGGGAGGATAGTCATACCACAATGCCTTGTCCTTCATTCTCCTCTCAGGATTTTGGGTACACACCCACACATACTTGGTGTGAGTTTCAAGCCTCCAGGTCCAGCCATGAGTAAGTTCAGCGATGTAACCATTCCACCATCTGGTGGTCCCTACAACCACTCAGACTTAAGACCAGTTGTCCAGGGCAGAGAATCTCCTTTTCAGTCTGTGTGTTTCTGGAATAATCTTATTACTCTGTCTGTCTTGTTCCCATAGTTGGTTAGTATTCATTACATGACACATTCATAATCATAAGAATTACAAGAAGGTACATACTTTCTTGTGTATCCATAGTAGTATTCACAATAAATAAAAATGATGACAACAGATTTATGTTAACGTGTTGTGGTGTGTCTTGTTACTTTCTGGAGTGTATCTATGCTTTTCGTATGGGTAGAATTACTCTATTATTCTAGTGTAGCATCACATAATATCTATTAAAAAATATGTACCCTGTGGGGCCAGAACACACAAGACAGCTGGCTTTTAACTCTTCGCATATCGATCAACTCACCTAAGGAGCAAGTTATAGGAATATAACTCAGGCATTAAGCGAGGAGTGCCTTTGCAGGGGGCAAAATCTCAAAGCAGAAACCTTTCTTCTCATCATCCTTCTCCCACTTCAGCCATTTGCAGGTATGTATGGAGATTAGATTGACAGGCATAAAATCTATTTCTGCATGTAATTGATTTGTTCCTTTCCATTTAGGGCCCTATGACTATTTGTCAGTGTTTCTATTGATGTGAAATCTGCTTCTACGTAGTACAGCATGCCACTTACGTTGGCCCTCTGTCCTCTTTTTGTCACTGATTTGGGATTTGCACACGGAGCTTTTTTCACTTATTTCTACTGATGAGAACTACACTCATTGTTTCTGGCAAACTTGTCAGTTCCATACAGACCAGGACAAATTTCAGTGTTCATTTCCCATTAGAGTAGACAGATCTTGCCCCCATCCTATCATTAGATATGAGAATTGGCAATTGCATTATTCAATTTAATAATATCACAAGCACTGAAAAAAATCTAAAAATTTAAATAATATCTCAGACATACCCATGGCTTAGCAAAACAAAGAAATATCTTATACTCATATCCCAGTACAATTTTGTAGCTAGTAATTCAGAAACAGTTCTCCCGTCTAAGAGTCTCACTGTTCACATGGTTATCTTTCTAGTCTACTACAGGACTAATAGTCAAAGAACTGAGCAGTGAGAGACAATAAGGAAGAAAACCCACTCTAAAGAGCAGTAGCACATAATAGACAGCATTTCTACACATCATATTGAGGATCTGAATCACATGGTCCAAAATAAATATGAGCATTCCAGGGATGATGTTTTGTTTGTCTATGTATCAAAGAAAGAGAAAGGTTTTGGAGAACATCAAGCCAGACTCTACCATAGTCCTCTTGGAGGAGAAGGAGTTTTTCTTTTTTTTTTTTTTAGAGGTTTTTGACACAGGGTGTGTGCGCTCGCCAGACAGACAGAGAGACAGAAAGCCATCCCCCCTGGGGGGTGATTTCTTGCTTTCTGTCTCTCTCACTGTCTTTCTGGCGAACGCATGTGCCCTACAGCAAAAACCTCTCCAAAAAAAAAAAAAAAAAAGGACTGAGAATACTAGTAAAGTTTCAGAGAATAAATTTATTTAATAAA